TCTAAATCCTCTTCACAGGCACTTTGAAAATGCCAAGAAGCGGCCGTCATTTTGCTAGCAAGGGCACACTGCTACGCTACTCACTATCTATCACAGAATGGAATATATAGTGATTAGCGTAGCCAATCAGAGAACGGCATTCATGATAGAACGCTAGTAGATTCACACTAAAACTCGATAGAAACATGGTATGCTCAAACATTTTGATGTACATAAAGGGTCTGAAGAACTTGATTTGTGCTTTACAAATATAATATAAACTAAATATATCCCCATCAAAGGATTTTTGCATCCTTTTAACCTGCTGACTCTTGTGCCGTCTGTAACCGACCATGACGAACATTGGCCTTTGTTCCACTTCTGACATCATCACCTTTGACCAGATTTGGCATTATCTATACTCAAGTTCTAATGATACCCAGATCAGAGTGATCGGCTCAGAAATTTGAGTGAAAAAATCAGAGCAAAATTTCCTGTGACTACACATGGCTATTCCATGGTAAAGATTGCCCATCTTGATAGTGCTTTCTCAGAATTTTTTGAACTGGAAGCAAGCCCAATAGAGGGTCAATCACTGCAGCAAAAAGATAAGAAAAGGAGAAAAAGCAAAAGCAAAAAAAAAGTAAAAAAAAAAAAAATGTAAGACGTAGGTCACTTTCTCATCCAAAAACCATCTCAAAATTTTGATTTCTGTGCATGCCTGAACAAAAATGTCATAAGCACGACGCAGACCAACATTATCAACATGTACCAGTCTCCAGACGAGTCACCAAATCACCCAGAACAAAGTGAAGCACTAAAGGTAGCTCCCTAAGGTTTTATGGCCACATTTGAGCTAAGGAGCAAAAGAGGTTTAAATTATCGGCAGAGCTCTTCTGCTTTTAACAACATATTTTTTTAGACTTAGTGATCTCCCAGGTTGGCATCTGGTTATGGTAAGTTCTATGAACAGCTCAAGCTAAGAACAGTTACATGATTAATATGCATACTTCCTACCATTAAATGGATGTACCATTGGCAGAGCTTCCTCTTTTGCTGATTTATGGATGTCATTTCTTGAGTATAAAGACAATCCTGACTAGAGATACATAACAAAATACAAATAGAAAATCACCGAATGTAATGCAATGTGGTAAATATTTTTGGTATTGTTGTTTACTGAGGCTTGAAGAGATTTTCATTTTTTCTTTAAATTTTTATCTTTTACCCACATTTTTGTGTTTTTTTTTTTGTAAAATAACTAGAGACAAAAAATAACCCAGTCTACAAGCAACATTACTTCTTTGCTGCTGAAACAGTTTTTAAAATAATTAGAAAGTGTTTTATGCTTGATTCCCACAATATATGCAAATAAGCTTATATGCAAAATGCTCAGGAGTATCATGTTTCTATGGCTACTAAACGTAATCTAATACCCTGTAATTTTCTTACGAAGCGAAACTGCCCGGTTGTCCAAGGTATAAACATGCAAAAATTATACGAACCATTGCAAAAATCTAAAGGATTTATTTGGTTTTAGGATTTTGCCGAGTTAAGCTTATTTCTCTTGGGAAGGGTAAATTATTTAGGACGTCTGAAGGAAACAAACCAGCAAAATGAAAGTAGCACAGCGAGATTGCAGAACAAAGAAAGCGCTCAACAGGGATTATAATTGATTATGACGATAAAAATAAAGAAAACAACATCTAAAGGGCGTAATTATAGGATTTTTCATGTTTTACCTTGCTTTGCTTTTCGTCAAGTCGAGCCAAAATTTGCTTGACTGGGTCAACCTTTCGTCTTTGCTGCATAGCGAAGATCAAACCGCAAAATATTGATTTAACACAAAATTCAAGAGGGAAACAAACTGCCTTATTAAAACAAGAAACCTTATTGCTACAGTGTTAGAAAAGAAGCATACTCTTACCTTCTTATAAGCTATCATTTGATAGCCTTTAGAATTCCTAATATGTTGTTTCTCCTCCGTGGAAAGTGGTAGTGGAGAAGTACCACAACGCGGCGATCACGAACAGATTTCGCATACCAAATGAATTAAGCGCTCTCCGATGACTAATTTTCTGATTTACGTTTTCTTCTCCTCTTCTTAATCGCTTATAGCCGCTTATCAATCATCTGTTTGCCTCATGTTTTCTAAACACAGCTGGGCACAGTTAAAAACAACCCCTGCGAGAGAGGTGTTCGCGATTGTCTGAAGAATGAAGCGGCTGGAGTTGACGTGAGACACAAGCCACGAACAACATCGCCCGACATGGGGTTAGCCAATCACATTTCACGATTCTCAATCACGCTTAATTTTTGCGGGAAACTGTCGCAACAAATAAATAACACAGCACCAGTAAATATTTTAATTACCCACAAAGAACAAATAGTTAATCAAAGTGAACCTAAATTTAGATATTTCATTTGAAAAGAGGACACTAAGGGATATCGTTCTATTCTTTAATCCTATGACAAGACATCTGCACAAGCAGAATTCAAACTGAATCCTTGTTTTTATATCATTATAAACATTTCCAAGTTGAAACAAAACATCAATATACTAAAATATATCGCTTTCTGAGTTTTCCTGAAATCAAGCTTTTAGTTGAAAATGTAATCTTCTTTACTGTGGTTGTATGTATCATCAGATTTGCTTGATGTAATGTTTGGAATTTTGCAGCTTAATTCAAGGCAATATCATTCCCAAGCTCAAAAGTTATTTTTAAATTCTCAACCTATTTTTGTTCTGCTAAACTATAACACGAAATTTGAAGTAAATTGTTCTCTCGATACTCTCAGTTCATCCTCTTCAATAGTCAAGGTCTAGGATTTGACACCAGGAGTCCAAAAATTATATTCTCATGGCAAAGCTCTTTTTGAGAACTTCAGGGACCCATCAAATGTCCCTCATTGTTTGATGCTTAGCAACAGTCAATAGGCCACTTCTGGGTTGGCTTTTGCCTCTGTGTCAAAACAAGTCTTTGTGCAAAACTATTCATATGGAAATGTGTTCTGCCTACGTGTTCATTTTCATGTAAATCAAACTCATTTTTCACATAATAGGTTTTGCACCAAGGCTCGGCCACAAGGCAACTCGGAAATGGCCTATCAGAGAGAGTAATGTTCAACATTAACCTTCAGATGTCAGTGTCTTTGGAACATGAAAAGAGCAGTAATAAAAAACCCTTTGATACATCCCAGTGTTTTCTGCCAGGTACCTGTCAGTCAACAATAATATAGAGAAATGTTTTTGAAAGACCATTAAATTTTTGGCACCCTTTTGATAGACAGGAAGCTCAAACACTGTTTGAGAATCTGTCAAAAGGTTTAGGAAAATGCTTTCCGTTGTAGCTAATAAAACTTACCAGTAATTACTAATTACTATTAGCAACAACAGAAAGCATTTCCCCAAACTTTTGTCGGATTCTCAAACAGTTTTTGAGCTCCCACGCTATCAAAAGGGTGCCAAATGGTCTTTCATCTTGGTCTTGCCATCTCAAATTTCTTTTACACACCCATCTCTGGAACCTCAATTAACAAAAAGGCAACAAAAGTCTCAGGCTCCTCGATAATGGACTTGTCATCCCACCATAGACTTACAAGCACCTTCATTCCAGAAGGGGGAGGGGCATGGTGACCTTGCCCAGAAAAAAATACACAATACACAAATGGGTGAGAGTTGAAATTGGGATACACACGCAAAATAAAATTTTCACAATTCTCACATCTAATGAAACTGTTACAATTCCAAAAGCAGTTAGTTTGAAAGCTTGCATACTCTATGACCTCGAT